CCCAATTTCTTTCTTTATCCCCCCTCCCAATCTTTCTTTATCCCCCTCTCTCCAATTTCTTCTCCCACCTCCCAATTTCTTTCTTTATCCCCTCTCTCCAATTTCCTTCTCCCCCTCCCAATTTCTTTCTTTATCCCCCTCCCAATCTTTCTTTATCCCCCCTCCAATTTCCTTCTCCCTCCCAATTTTCTTTTTTATCCCCCCTCCCAATCTTTCTTTATCCCCCCTCTCCAATTTCCTTCTCCCAATCTTTATTTATCCCCAATCTTTGTTTATCCCCCTCCCAGTTTCCTTATCCCCTCCCAGTTTCCTTATCCCCCTCCCAATCTTTCTTTATCCCCCCCCTCCACCCTCCCCTACCTCTGTTGTAGCGTGGCCGAGCTCTGTATCATGGTCCGCGGGTACAGGGAGCATCTGTCTCCTGTATCCGGCCGGACTAACAGGAAGTGAACACTGGGTTCCCGCGGACCATGACCATGAGTACCCGCGGACCATGATACAGGGCTCGGCCACGCTACAGCGAGGGAGTGACAGGAGGGAATGCTGAGCGCTTCCCTCCTGTCAGCCTCTCTCCTCAGGCTGCGCCCGGGCGGGCAAAGCTGCAGCCGCCTAAGGCTCTCTGCAGAGCACTCAGGCGGCTGCAGCATGAGGGTGGCCGGCGCTCCTGGCGGTGCACCATCCCAAGGCACCCCCCACCCTGGTGGCACCCGGGGCAGACTGCCCCCCCCCTTAGTACGCCACTGTAGGGAAGAAATATTGCACATAAAAGAGGGATTTCTTCACACGCAATAATGACTATATATTGCAAAACCAGATTTACAAAAATACCTCACACTATGGATGAATTGATACAGCAATGATCAGTCACAGGTGAGGTGTAAACCTAGGCAAAGGCAAGAAGAATCATATACAGATTAGTTGAAGACAAAAAGAAATATCGGTATGAACCGTAGAAATTGTGGCAACTACTAAATTATAAGTAGGCCAAGCACATCAGTACCTACATTCAAAGATAAACATATTGTAAATAGTACAGATTATGCTAAACCGTATAATCAAATTTATTAGAGACTGATGTGCAATATAATAGGAGATATGTAATAGGCAGGATACTGATGAGAAGGTGGCACATTATACATTGTGGCAACAGACACATAATAAGTAGGATAGTAGGAGATATTCTGTTATCCTTAGGGGAACAAACAACCGCATACTTACTCTTACCTTATCTTCAGATAGTGAAGAAGTACTATGGCAGATCCTATGGTGATAATCAGTTTGTTTTATCTGCAGGATATCAACACCAATCCAAGCATATAATCCACAGGTATCCATGCAATGTTAGGAGAGACCATAACTTATACCGCTCTAGGTACAGAGACCATGTAAAACATATCAGTCAAATGTTTGTCCTCAACAAGCTGCATTACATTATATTATGCAGGATAAATCAACCACTTAAAGTCACACATTGGTTGCAAATTCCAGATATAAAGGACACCTAAGAGAATCCCCATGGATATCAGAACCAAGGTCCGAATGGAACAACATGTTCAGGGATTTCCTTTATTGTTCTGGTAGCAGGTGAATTTTACCTGAGATAGTAAACCTGGTAGAATGGTCTGGGGACTTGAAAGGTCTTTCAATGTCAATTAAAATACTTGCAATACACAGCATCAAAGTTACCTGAAGTATATGAGCCTAAAAGAATACCTTTTATTACAGAAAGCAATTATAATGTTGCCCTTCACAACAAGGGAATCTGTCAGAATTTTCTGATCATTAAATCCTTAACCCCTTAAGGACGGAGCCAAATGTACACGCTGTGAACAAAACAAAATGTAAACAAAACCTGGCATTTGCGCTACATGTCTGTCCAACCGTAATTCACCTCTTTCATAGTAAATTTACCCCCTCTTATTATATATCATTTTATTCAGGGGAAACAGGGCTTTCATTTAATATCAAATATTTAGCTGTGAAACATAATTTAAAAACAAATATGAATACCGCACTCAAAAATGATTATAGTAAAGTCTAAACTTGTATTAAATTGCAAAAATATTTATTATAATGATAATTCATAGGTTTATCAAGTAAATCTTAGTGAAATTCATTTCAATCATATGTACATAGATTATTTACATATATACACACAAAATCCTCCCTGTGCTAAATTTCATGAACTTTGTATCTATTTACAATGGTAATTGATCCAAAAAAATTGAATGAATGAAAAGTCCAGAAAAAATACAAAAAATAATAAAAAAAAGGGAAAAAGAAAAAAGAAAAAAGAAAAAATGTATATATAATACAGTCCTATTAATAGTCCAAAATATAGTGCACTATACAATTCATAGGTATATGGATGGATCTCACCAAAGAACAAGTTGGCTTTATAGTATGCTCAGTAGGAGGATGGTGTATCCTGTAGATGGTGTATACTGGATGAGGGTGAAAATGGGTTGTTGTTCGGTGAGAAGACAATCACTCATCTATTCTCTGTAGAATCTGGTCAGTCTGACAGGTCATTTCATTGATCCATAATCGTGGGCAATTCTGGAAACGGGCTGAAATGGGCTGCGCGCTCGGGACGTTCCTGTCCCTTCGATGGCCCCTGTTCCTCTCCGTCCTGCCAAAGTGTAAATATATCGGTTTAAATATCCTCATTGGGCGGCAAAATCCGCCGCGGCCACTCCATGCACCTACTTCCGCCTTCTGACGTCAGTGTGCGTCGCTGCGTCATACGTATTCAACTCAACTTTATTGTTCACATACATATTGCGTTTTGGCAAAGATAAAGGGAAGTCACAAATTGGAAATTAAAGTAAATCTAAATAATAAATATGTAGTAAAAGTTACTACAAGGTCAATTAGTATATGTATTCACTGAGGGAAACCTAAAGAGTGGTCATGATATATATACAAAGGGAAGACTACCTAAGAACCATAGTACTCGAAAGTTGTTATAATCACTTAAAGTTAACTAAAACCAAATAGTACTGTAATCTGAAGAGTCTTAAGCCAGAAAATAAAAATAAACAAGAAAAAAGAAAAAGGAACAAAAAACAATAATTTAATATTTCTAAATAAATCTGACTGATGTATAGTTATTATGAAGCTCACCTGTAACAGATGATCAAGAGAACAAAAATATCTGTAGCTATAAACCAGTAGAATAACCAGCTATATAGAAAGGAAAAAAAGGAAAAAAGGAAAAATGGATTATCTATATCTTATACAATAAAGATAAAACAAAGAAAAACAATTTTCAAAAAAAATTTTTAGTAAAAAGAAAAAAAGAAAAAAAGGACAAAGAAAAAAAGAACAAAGAAAAAAGAATAAAAAACGAATAAAAAACGAAAAATAAGAAAAAAATCAAGAAAAAATATTGAATAAAGAAAAGGATTTTTATTGAAAAAATTTTTTAATGTAGCTAAATTTGAAATTTTTTTTTTGAAAAATAAAAATAAAAAATAAAATAAAGACAGAGTATGCAACTCACCTGTCTCGTAATGCCCCACCGTGCCCCTGGGTCCCGCATGTGGGGAACCCTGTGCTGATGGCAGGTAGCGGACCCAAAGAGGTCAAAATGTTGGCAGGAAAGGACACCGGACCAGAACTGTGTAAGGAGCACAAAATCATAGAGCAGGCAATAAATACAAGAAAAAAATAAGAAAAAAATTGTCATAAGGAATGTTTAAGGTCATAGTCTTCATTAAGCCCTAATGGTGACAAAGTCTCCAAGGTACTTATCCATTTTGTTTCTCTCTGCAATAAGAGCTTCTGTCTATCCCCTCCTCTACGTAGAGGTGGGATTCTGTCCAAGACTTGAAACCTTAATTGGTTTACGTTATGACCATATGTTTTGAAATGTCTGGGTACCGGAGCCTCCACTTTATTGTGTTGTAATGCTGCCCTAATGCTCCTTTTATGCTCCCCTATCCGCTCTTTCACTGGCCTGATGGTCTCCCCCACGTACAGGAGTCCACAGGGACACTTAAGAGCATACACGACAAAGTCAGAGTTGCATGTAAAAAATTCTTTGACATAAAATTTCTTACCTGATCTGGGATGAACAAAATATTCCCCCTTGATCACACTGTTACAGTGTGAGCAATTTAAACATGGAAAAGTGCCCTTCTTAGGTTCTGAAAAAAATCTAGTTTGTTTCTTAGAACTGCCAATATCTGACCTTACTATCATGTCCCTCAGGTTCGAGGCCCTCTGATACGCAAAAAGTGGAGACTGTTGGAATATCGGGGGTAGTTGAATATCCCCCTGAAAAAGTTGCCAATGTTTTAATGTCTTATCTCTCTATTAAGTGGGGTATATGGTGTTACCAACGTAATCCTTTCTACTTTGTCTCTGGCCCCTGCACCTGAAAGGGTTTCTTGTCGAGAAAGATTATCAACCTTCTGTCGTTGATTGTCGACTACATGTGTGGGATAGCCTCTCTCTATGAATTTATTGGCCATAAAATCTAAACCCGTCATCAATTTATCTTCCTGTGATACAATCCTTTTTACTCTTAACAATTGACTAAATGGTAATCCATTCTTTAGATGGATTGGATGAAAACTTGAGTAAGTCAATAAATTATTACGGTCAGTAGGTTTTATGTACAAGTCGCTATGAAGGCAATTTTGTACTCTCTGTACCTGAACATCTAGAAAAGGGACTGTAGTCGTATCACAGCACATAGTGAATTTAATGTTTTCATCTTGTGTATTTAATGACTCAAAAAATTCCTGTAAATGGGCCCTAGTGCCGCTCAAACATATGAATACGTCATCTATGTATCTTTTCCAAACTATGCATTTGGAAAATAAAGGATGTTGGTAGATACATGTTTCCTCCATTCGATTCATATAAATGTTAGCATATGTTGGAGCGACATTCGAGCCCATAGCTGTACCCTTAATCTGTTTGTAATACTTATCACCAAACAGAAAATAATTCTCAGTCAAAATGAAAGTAAGTAATTCCCTGATATATTTTCAGGTCTCTCCTTGTTGGGTTAATCTCGGGTCTCTATCCAGTGTCCAATCCACTGCCTCAATCCCTCTATTGTGGTCAATTGAAGTATATAGTGACTGTACATCCATGGTTACCAACCAAAAGTCACCTGGTGGAATATGTATATCTGCTAGTAGTGTAAGAAATGTAGTAGTATCTTTGAGGTATGATTTCTGCAATGGGACATATTTGATCAAGAATTTATCCAGTATTTCTGCTGGGTGTTGGAATATAGACCCAGTTCCACTGACTATTGGTCTGCCCGGTGGAAAAAGGGGGTTCTTATGTATTTTTGGGAGGGTATAGAACACCGGAATTCTTGGGTATTTGAGATTCATATATTTATATTCTCCATCAGAGATAATGTTTTTAGAGAGGGCCCATTGGTTAAGTTTATCTAGTGTACGTTTCAGATTGTGTGTAGGGTCTTGACTGATAGGTAAGTAATTTGTGTTATCCATTAACTGGCTCTCAATTTCTTTTATGTAATATGTGCGATCCATGATCACCAGTGCTCCCCCCTTATCTGCCGGTTTGATAATGATGGATGCATCTTTCTTTAAATTATTGATATTCAACCAATCTTGTTTAGTAAAATTGATACTTTTTCTATGATAACTATGGGTATATTGATGTTTTCTCCTAAGTTTATACATGTCTTTCTTCACAAGATTGGTGAATAAGTCAATGGATGTATTGATATTATGTGGTGTGAAAGTGCTTTTAGGTTTCAAACCTGTATCCAGGGAGAGAACAGTGCATGGATCAGACCCGGAAACGTAATGTCCCACAGCCTCCATATTTCCTTCATCATGTGGATCTCCCTGTGTGATCTGTATAATATTGTCAGTAGATTCTGCTGTTGTACCAAAATTGTGCTGATCTGTTGAAAAAAATGCACGTAGTTTAAGTTGGCGAAAGAATTTATACAAACTGACGTCATATTGGTGCCACTCTATATGGGGTGTGGGAATGAAGGAGAGTCCCTTATTCAGGGTCCCCTCCTCCGTAGGTGTTAAGGGCCTACCTGAGATGTTGTGTATTAGAGATTGCGTCTCGATTGGGGCGGTCGGCCTTGTCTTTTCTCCCGAGTGCCTCTTGTTGTAACCCCCCCACCTGATGTTTCTTCGTGTCGTGTACCTCTCTCTAAAAAAGTCATCCCTGAGGACGAGGAGGCAGAGGAGGCGGATGTAGCCCCTTCTGTATCTGAGCGCCATCTCTGTGTAGTTGTGTCTCTGTTGGATCTATACGGACGATTATCCGCTCTAGAGTACCAGGTATAAACTTGATCCCTTTGATAATCTAATTCGTCTCTATGGAATTTTCTCTTTTTGAATTCTTCCGTTTCTCTCTGATATTCTTTTAATTTGTCTTCTATTTGTTTTTTAAGCGTCTCTAAGTCAGTTGATGCAGTGACTGCTGCTAGTTCTTGTTCCGCTGCTGCTATCTCTTTAATAAGTTTAGTTAATTATTTCTGTAGAGATTCTATAGTTAGTACCATAAGGTCCACTGAGCATTTGTTTAAAATTTTGTACCATACTGTTCGATGTTCAGCATTGTCTCTACATAATGTGGGATGTAATCTAACCCTCAGACCCCTTGGGATTCTCTTTTGTCTAAGATACTCTCCTAGGGTATTTACATGTAGTTCCCAACTTATTTTTCTTTTTAAATCTCTCTCAAGTTTGTGGGCTATTCCACGTTCACTATCATTAGTGAATAGATATCATTGTAAATAGATACAAAGTTCATGAAATTTAGCACAGGGAGGATTTTGTGTGTATATATGTAAATAATCTATGTACATATGATTGAAATGAATTTCACTAAGATTTACTTGATAAACCTATGAATTATCATTATAATAAATATTTTTGCAATTTAATACAAGTTTAGACTTTACTATAATCATTTTTGAGTGCGGTATTCATATTTGTTTTTGGATTTTGATTAGGAGGTTGTTGTGGGGTTAAACCTCGAATACCTGCACCTTGCATAATTGAGTGCCAACACATATTGTGTTTTTGTATATTGTTTTCCCTAGTGTGGAGCACCGTTATGCGATTTACAACCTTTTTTCACTATAAAATATAAAATATTGTTTTGAGATCATTAGTAAATCAGATTGTCAATTTATAGGATTACATTCTTTCATCTATACATAGTTGACTTTATGGCAACATTTGCCTATACAGAGGGTGACATCAACCGTATCACATCAGCCCTTAGAGGAGCTAGGGAGTTTTTAACTAATGATAGTGAACGTGGAATAGCCCACAAACTTGAGAGAGATTTAAAAAGAAAAATAAGTTGGGAACTACATGTAAATACCCTAGGAGAGTATCTTAGACAAAAGAGAATCCCAAGGGGTCTGAGGGTTAGATTACATCCCACATTATGTAGAGACAATGCTGAACATCGAACAGTATGGTACAAAATTTTAAACAAATGCTCAGTGGACCTTATGGTACTAACTATAGAATCTCTACAGAAATAATTAACTAAACTTATTAAAGAGATAGCAGCAGCGGAACAAGAACTAGCAGCAGTCACTGCATCAACTGACTTAGAGACGCTTAAAAAACAAATAGAAGACAAATTAAAAGAATATCAGAGAGAAACGGAAGAATTCAAAAAGAGAAAATTCCATAGAGACGAATTAGATTATCAAAGGGATCAAGTTTATACCTGGTACTCTAGAGCGGATAATCGTCCGTATAGATCCAACAGAGACACAACTACACAGAGATGGCGCTCAGATACAGAAGGGGCTACATCCGCCTCCTCTGCCTCCTCGTCCTCAGGGATGACTTTTTTAGAGAGAGGTACACGACACGAAGAAACATCAGGTGGGGGGGTTACAACAAGAGGCACTCGGGAGAAAAGACAAGGCCGACCGCCCCAATCGAGACGCAATCTCTAATACACAACATCTCAGGTAGGCCCTTAACACCTACGGAGGAGGGGACCCTGAATAAGGGACTCTCCTTCATTCCCACACCCCATATAGAGTGGCACCAATATGACGTCAGTTTGTATAAATTCTTTCGCCAACTTAAACTACGTGCATTTTTTTCAACAGATCAGCACAATTTTGGTACAACAGCAGAATCTACTGACAATATTATACAGATCACACAGGGAGATCCACATGATGAAGGAAATATGGAGGCTGTGGGACATTACGTTTCCGGGTCTGATCCATGCACTGTTCTCTCCCTGGATACAGGTTTGAAACCTAAAAGCACTTTCACACCACATAATATCAATACATCCATTGACTTATTCACCAATCTTGTGAAGAAAGACATGTATAAACTTAGGAGAAAACATCAATATACCCATAGTTATCATAGAAAAAGTATCAATTTTACTAAACAAGATTGGTTGAATATCAATAATTTAAAGAAAGATGCATCCATCATTATCAAACCGGCAGATAAGGGGGGAGCACTGGTGATCATGGATCGCACATATTACATAAAAGAAATTGAGACCCAGTTAATGGATAACACAAATTACTTACCTATCAGTCAAGACCCTACACACAATCTGAAACGTACACTAGATAAACTTAACCAATGGGCCCTCTCTAAAAACATTATCTCTGATGGAGAATATAAATATATGAATCTCAAATACCCAAGAATTCCGGTGTTCTACACCCTCCCAAAAATACATAAGAACCCCCTTTTTCCACCGGGCAGACCAATAGTCAGTGGAACTGGGTCTATATTCCAACACCCAGCAGAAATACTGGATAAATTCTTGATCAAATATGTCCCATTGCAGAAATCATACCTCAAAGATACTACTACATTTCTTACACTACTAGCAGATATACATATTCCACCAGGTGACTTTTGGTTGGTAACCATGGATGTACAGTCACTATATACTTCAATTGACCACAATAGAGGGATTGAGGCAGTGGATTGGACACTGGATAGAGACCCGAGATTAACCCAACAAGGAGAGACCCGAAAATATATCAGGGAATTACTTACTTTCATTTTGACTGAGAATTATTTTCTGTTTGGTGATAAGTATTACAAACAGATTAAGGGTACAGCTATGGGCTCAAATGTCGCTACAACATATGCTAACATTTATATGAATCGAATGGAGGAAACATGTATCTACCAACATCCTTTATTTTCCAAATGCATAGTTTGGAAAAGATACATAGATGACGTATTCATATGTTGGAGCGGCACTAGGGCCCATTTACAGGAATTTTTTGAGTCATTAAATACACAAGATGAAAACATTAAATTCACTATGTGCTGTGATACGACTACAGTCCCTTTTCTAGTGTTCAGGTACAGAGAGTACAAAATTGCCTTCATAGCGACTTGTACATAAAACCTACTGACCGTAATAATTTATTGACTTACTCAAGTTTTCATCCAATCCATCTAAAGAATGGATTACCATTTAGTCAATTGTTAAGAGTAAAAAGGATTGTATCACAGGAAGATAAAGTGATGACGGGTTTAGATTTTATGGCCAATAAATTCATAGAGAGAGGCTATCCCACACATGTAGTCGACAATCAACGACAGAAGGTTGATAATCTTTCTCGACAAGAAACCCTTTCAGGTGCAGGGGCCAGAGACAAAGTAGAAAGGATTACGTTGGTAACACCATATACCCCACTTAATAGAGAGATAAGACATGTTATATTAAAACATTGGCAACTTTTTCAGGGGGATATTCAACTACCCCCGATATTCCAACAGTCTCCACTTTTTGCGTATCAGAGGGCCTCGAACCTGAGGGACATGATAGTAAGGTCAGATATTGGCAGTTCTAAGAAACAAACTAGATTTTTTTCAGAACCTAAGAAGGGCACTTTTCCATGTTTAAATTGCTCACACTGTAACAGTGTGATCAAGGGGGAATATTTTGTTCATCCCAGATCAGGTAAGAAATTTTATGTCAAAGAATTTTTTACATGCAACTCTGACTTTGTCGTGTATGCTCTTAAGTGTCCCTGTGGACTCCTGTACGTGGGGGAGACCATCAGGCCAGTGAAAGAGCGGATAGGGGAGCATAAAAGGAGCATTAGGGCAGCATTACAACACAATAAAGTGGAGGCTCCGGTACCCAGACATTTCAAAACATATGGTCATAACGTAAACCAATTAAGGTTTCAAGTCTTGGACAGAATCCCACCTCTACGTAGAGGAGGGGATAGACAGAAGCTCTTATTGCAGAGAGAAACAAAATGGATAAGTACCTTGGAGACTTTGTCACCATTAGGGCTTAATGAAGACTATGACCTTAAACATTCCTTATGACAATTTTTTTTCTTGTATTTATTGCCTGCTCTATGATTTTGTGCTCCTTACAGAGGCTCCCCTTGACCAGTTCTGGTCCGGTGTCCTTTCCTGCCAACATTTTGACCTCTTTGGGTCCGCTACCTGCCATCAGCACAGGGTTCCCCACACGCGGGACCCAGGGGCACGGTGGGGCATTACGAGACAGGTGAGTTGCATACTCTGTCTTTATTTTATTTTTTATTTTTATTTTTCAAAAAAAATATTTCAAATTTAGCTACATTAAAAAAAAATTTCAATAAAAATCCTTTTCTTTATTCAATATTTTTTCTTGATTTTTTTCTTATTTTTCGTTTTTTATTCGTTTTTTATTCTTTTTTCTTTGTTCTTTTTTTCTTTGTCCTTTTTTTCTTTTTTTCTTTTTACTAAAAATTTTTTTTGAAAATTGTTTTTCTTTGTTTTATCTTTATTGTATAAGATATAGATAATCCATTTTTCATTTTTTCCTTTTTTTCCTTTCTATATAGCTGGTTATTCTACTGGTTTATAGCTACAGATATTTTTGTTCTCTTGATCATCTGTTACAGGTGAGCTTCATAATAACTATACATCAGTCAGATTTATTTAGAAATATTAAATTATTGTTTTTTGTTCCTTTTTCTTTTTTCTTGTTTATTTTTATTTTCTGGCTTAAGACTCTTCAGATTACAGTACTATTTGGTTTTAGTTAACTTTAAGTGATTATAACAACTTTCGAGTACTATGGTTCTTAGGTAGTCTTCCCTTTGTATATATATCATGACCACTCTTTAGGTTTCCCTCAGTGAATACATATACTAATTGACCTTGTAGTAACTTTTACTACATATTTATTATTTAGATTTACTTTAATTTCCAATTTGTGACTTCCCTTTATCTTTGCCAAAACGCAATAT